TGTCGTTTGAGAAGTGGGTTGACTTTTTAATTTTTTGACTTTTTTGACTATTTTAGTCTGAGATTAAAAAACTTGATTTTGAAAGGGCTTTAGGCTTTTTTGACTTTTTTGTGAGAGAAAGAATATAATAATTATGGGCTGAATGTGATGTTTTGTCTTATTAGGTTAAAAAATCTAATTTATTTTTTGTGACTATTTTAGCTAAAAAAGCCTCAAAACTATCTTCCCAAATAGAGTTCTCCTTGCTCAAGAGAAAAAATCAGGACTTCCAACAAATACTCTTTTCTTTTTTTTTTTAAATACAAAAAAAAAAAAAAAAAAACTTATGGAGAAAATGACCCATGGCCCGGGGTGGGCCCAGCCCGTTTAAATCTGGGCCCGAACCCAATCTAAGCCCTTTGGCTTGGGCCATCATTTTGAAGTCCAGCCCGTGACCCAACTTATCGGTCCGCTTAAAATCCACTCAAAGCCTGGCCTACCCAAGGTCCAATGTCTTTTTTAGTAAAAAATAATAAAATTTTAATAGAAAAAAATTTAAAAAACAAAAAAAAAAATGGTAAGGCCAACCCACCCAAGGCCCGAATACCACTAGGTTTAGACCTAATTTTTTGACCCGTGGACCGGCCGGCCCTACCCAAATTTTGGCAAGAACCTATGAGTCGCAACATGGGCCGGACCGAGCCAAATTTACACTCACCACAGAAATAAATTTGGATCAGCCCTACAAATTATGGGGCCCCTCACTTTTGTCAATTGGACCTTCTATATAGGCAGGCAATGAGGAATCCAATCATCATATATAAACACCGTTTGGGAAGTGGTTTTGTGGATTTTTTTGACTATTTTAGTCACAAAAAATAAAATAAGTTATTTTAGCTACAATAAATAAAACATCACATCCAACTCATAATCATTACACTCTTCTCTCACAAAAAAAAATCCAAAAAGCCAAAAAATCCTTCCCAAACCAAGCTTTTTAGCCTAGACTAAAATAGCCAAAAAAACCAAAAAATCAAAAAGTCAACCCACTCCCCAAACCAACCCATAGTGCTTTATTTTGTACTCATGAATTGTTGCCATTTTCAGACTCCAAAATAAAAATAAAATAATAATAATAAATAAATTGTACCAGAAAAACAAAATTTGTTGCCAATTCTGTACCCCACAAAACAAAAAATAAAATAAAAATTAAATATAAAATCAGACACAAAATAAAATGGACAATAATTTTTTAAATAGACCACAACGATAAATCTAGTAAAATTGTATCCATCAAAATAATTTCTGTATAGAACCTAATTTTATATGAAGATAAAATTGAGTCTTAATTATACTATCTCACAACACCCAAGTAGATTAACTTTGTTATATAAATCAACCTAATAATTATTTAATTCAAGATATTAACATCACATATCATATTGCAAAAGGATTTTTAAAGTTGTAAAACAAGTTAAATTCTCTTTTTTTGGTTGGGTTAGAATATTCACACACAAATCCACTCTATGTTTACTTATGCATACAAAAAAGGTACAAGTAATTTCATTCAGCATAGCAGAAAAGTGGTGTGTTGGGTTATTCTCACAACACAAGCGAGCCGTTTTTGTGTAACTGATACACCATGCCAAGTACCGCTAACACAAAATATTTTCTCTTCTATGCAGCCCTAGACCATACAATTAGACCTCAGTATTTCCTTTTAAGTACCTGCACTCAGATCAACAGTCATCAAGATTAATTTTCGTCAAAACTAGGACTAGGGGCTAAGGGAGTGTCAATTCTAGAACTCCTTGCTTAAGCTCTATATACACTAACACTCTTTAGAAAAGGAGACAATTGAAATTTCAAGTTATAGTTCATTTTTCTGTACAAATTTGGTAATAATCCCACAAACACAGTTAATCCTTACTCTATTAACAAAATTCCATCAATTTTGATCCCACTGGCATAACACAAAATCCAAAATTCAGGGAAGAGAGAGAGAGAGAGAGAGAACTCTCTTTTTGACAACTTATCCTCATTTGTATCTGCACAAAATTCATGGTGGATTTCCAGTAAAACATTGACATTGGGGGGTTGGAGTGGTTGGTTTTAAAACGAAAGACCCCGAAAATTTATGCTGTATCTCTGTCTATCTACTACTTGAATATGCAAGGCAGCTAAATTACCAAACTCCTAAACTAAGTGAAAATATGCAATACTAGAGATCATGAAAAAAATATCATAAAAATAATCATAAAAGATTCTCCACCTTTAGATTATACACAATAAAACATCACACACTAATCAAAGGATGAAAAATTTTCGTGATGCATTTCATGATCCCTAGTATTATTCAAAAAATATTGGCAAATCCATTAGTAGGGGGAAAATTTTTGATTCAAGATAAAAGCAAATTACCATTAAACAACCAAAGTAAGGTGGAAAAAAATTGAAATTGAAAATGAAAATATGATGTGTGATTTCTGGCTTCTGTTAGACAAAATATAACACACATACCGATCTGCAGACTGGTTTCTCTTTAAATATTTTCCATTGCGGGCGGTTTCTAATTTTTGCATAAAAGCTAATGGGGAGAGAGCAGGGCTGAAGATGTTTTCCGGACGAATAATTCACATGTAATTAGGTCATCCATAGATGTTGCAGAACTCCCAGACCCTAGGAGAGGAACAAGGTTGAAAATTGGTTCCCCCTCACTAGTCGCAATTCTCTGAAACATTTCAACAAATTCATTGAATACAGCTATGAAAGTCAGCGACAATGATTCATTAGACACTTGTAGACTTGTTGGGTATAACGCCTCCAATTATCCTCTGTAACTTGTAAGGCAGTTTCTCCAAATGACAATCAAATTTAGTCAACTCAATGATTAAAGCTATGACATTCATGTCGAACTTGTAAAATACACCTATAACAACCTCTCAGCAGAAACAGATCATCCACAAGTAGAAGCTAAAACCAGACCACCACTTCCTCAACCATCACCCTAGCCACCCCAGTAGCTCTAGCTCTACTGCTGGAAATCCACCCCACCACCACCATGGTTTTTAATCCTAATTGACGATGCCTTACCACCACTAATGGCCATTTGAACATTCTTTTTCAACACTATGATCTCCATATCACCTCAAACTATATCTCAGAAACCGACCCATCATTACCACCACCCTCACCTCCACCAACTCATACTTGACCATGACTAACAATTCCCTATTTCAGACTTTGGGAGATAAATTTATCAGCTTGGAAAAACTGAGCCAAGGATATCATATGTCAAATTCTATATTTAAGGAGAACTTCCTTCTTCGTGTTTTCTCTTTATTATTTCCGTCCATGAGGTTACCAGGACTCGTAAGTTCCCTTTCTGTTCTCTATCAGAATATACACCAAAGACATCCACAACAAAGGTGAGAAAGCGATGTTAATAAAAGAACTCATCCTATTTTGATCGACATTCTACCCCAGTACATTCCTCGCTATGCACACAACTGTAAAAGAAAAGAAAAGTTTTTTACATGGTTGTTTTTTCTTCATCCCTTGAAGCTCCAAAGCTTGTAGTATTAAGAGCATAAACAATTAACAACAATAAAGAAGTTTGAAATTATCATCTTTAATTTCTCATCTACACATGGAAATAATGCATTCAACCATACTTTTTAGCATGCAAGTAAAGCTTACATATGTCAGAATAGAAACCAGTATCGTATCTTCTATGGCATTTCCTAAAACAAAAGTTAAAGTACAAGACCAAAGCAGTTACCAACATTTGCGTAAATAGAACTCAAGCCCCTTCTCCTCCTTTATTATTCTTTGTCAATACTCGATCAAGAATCTGCTGCATCAAGAGATGAACAAAAGAATACTGCACAAAACAAAGCAGACCTACACTACATGACTGAAAGAAGCCGAAATCTAAACAAGCTTTACCACCAGGCTCTGAATCGGCTTAGAAGCTGCACAAAAAATCAGGCTTAACTCAAGGAAACTCACAAACAATAAGTGTTTGGTACTTTCAATGTATATTTACTTCCAGTTGTTCATTAAACTCCAACAAAATGCATCAATCAATGCACCCCAATTGGGACTTTCCTAGTACAGTCCACGTGCAAACTGCAGTTTTGAGCATGAAATATAGGCATCAAAACGGTTCAATACCATACAGCTATTTATAAGTTTGTAATTCCAATCTGTGTAATACACAAAGCAGCCAAAATAAAATAAAACAAAATCAATAATTTATTTTCCCATTTTGGCAATATGGAATCTTAATTTCCAAAAAACAACATACAGAAAATGAAAACTTCACATCCAACTTCATTGCTTCCAAAAAGTGGCCCATGTCATCAGGTATGAGATGCTCAAACTACCATGTCAGTATGCCAGTCACTTTTTTTCTTACCTTGCATATTTTTATGTTTTTTGGTGGCATACAAAGTCTAACAAAAACCAAGAATAAGCTCAAATAGACTAAGCAAGGTAGGAAAATGAAAATAAATTGGCAAATTGCTTCAAAACATGCAGTCCGTCGTGAACTATAAATCCATTCTGTATTAGTAAGTACAAGCTAGATTGATAACAAAGGATACATAGCAAAACAAAAAAAATCTGTAATTTCTTTTTCAATCTAGTCTTCTTGGACAATGCAGAAATAAAAAATTAAGGGGGAATTACTTGTCAGTGGTGGTTTCAAAAATAAATGACAAAATCATGAAAAAGTTTATAATTCTGCATATTAATGTTTACAATGAATACCACTGATCTGAAAATATTTTTCTGAGTATACACTGAGGTGATACTTCCCCAAAAATTAACAGCAAATTTTTACATTTACCAAATTAACCAAGGCCCTTCATGGCCAATCACTTCCCAGCAGTCAACCATGGGAATTAAATAGTACATGAGGCTGGTAATGGCCCTGGATTTTGCGGTGCAAGAAAAATAATTTCATAGCTCAGCTCCAGGGAAAAAAAATTATAATAATTTGATTAAGCTTACTGATATGCAAAGGAAACAAAATGAAACTATCATTGACAAAATGGCAAGATTCATTGATTAAAGTTGCCAAAGGAAGAAATCAGAACAGTTTCTAAGCCAGGAATTACATATGCCTCAAAGGGACAACTTAACCTTCCTAAAAACTTCCAGAGTATTTGAGAAGTACCTATCTCCAAAGCAACATGGAATGTACATGATCAACTAGGAACACCATGTAGTAATAATGCCTTTGGGAGGCTGAAAAACAGAAGCAAAGAACCTACTTATTCACCACTGTACTAACTGCTATCTAAAAGAAATGTGCATAGCATTGAGCAGCTTCTGCTGACCGAATCTTTTGGCCAATAAACCCACAATGTAAACCATGGTCTCAAGTCCCATCAGACTTGAATTGGGTTCCCTGTTTCTTCATCATTTCCTTCACACCCATTGTTGGTAACTAACTTCCTTGCTTCTTTCTCAAAACTAATGACCTCAAGATTATTATCAAGACCTGTTGTTGTGTCTTTCTTGCTTAACACATCCCAGAAAAAGTCTGTCAAAACAGTCTCATATGATGGCATTTTCGCATACCCAGGGAAGTAATTTATGTCAATTACAAGGTACCTATTCCCAATTCTAGTGTCCCTAATGACATCAAAGTTAAAAAGATGAAGCTTTGTTGCTCGCCTCAGTCCACGAGCAATATCGGTGATAAAACTCTGTGGAGGCATCTCAATTTCTTCCAAATTCATCATCTTGTAATACTCATCATCATTTCTTTCCTGAATAGTTAGATTCGAAACCTGTGAAAACGACAAAGAACCCTCCAAACTCTTCAATTTCTCCTCCGAAACGTCTGGCAAAGATTTCCTCTTCACGCATTTCACATAGTCCCCAACCACATAGGTTTTGAAGATCACCCCACCATGATTCACGAACTCTTGCAACACAATCGGAGGTTTTAGCTTGTTCAAACCATCCTGATTGAAAACCAGAGACATCTTGTGCGATTTCGCACTCCCATCGGCGACCAAAGGCTTGGCAATCACCGGAAACTTCAAACCCTCACCCCATTGATTCGGATCTAAGAGCGTCCTCGTATCGTAAATCACAATCTGCTTCGGAATTCCAAACGATTCGGTCTCAGTCTCAATGTTATTCAAACCTGTAACAACCTCGAGCATCGAAATCCGATTGTGAAGCCTCTCAATCGCATCAGGGGAATCTATTATCAGGACATTAGGGTTCTTTATCGAGTACTCCTCCAACTGGTTCTTCCAATCAGAGCCGCAGAGCTTGTGCATCACGCAATCGAACGGTCCTTGATCAACCAAAGGCTTGTCCGTATCAATACGAATGAGATCGATACCTCTCTCTCTCGCTAGATTCACCAACGAAACTTGAATGAAACTCTGACGCTTCTTCGGAGCGAGAGCGTAACCGACTCCGAATCTCCTCATTGGTTCCGCCATTGATGCCATTCGAATTCAAAAACCTCTCTCTGTCGGCAACTACAAAAATCAAAAAAAAAACAGCTCCAAAACTCATAACCTTTCAAGAACATTCGGAATTCGAAACCCTACTCTCAAATTCGGTGAATTAAGGCCCTAATCTATCTTTTTCTCTGCACTAGATTCGCAAACACACAGATAGATAGATAGATATATGGGTATATAATGACACAATGTGTGAAGAGAGAGAGAGAGAGAGAAAAAAAAAAAAAAAAGGCTTAGAGATATAAATATATATATATATATATATATTGGGAAATTCTAATGTACACATCTTGAAAAGTTGTATTATTGGGCAGTCTGGAAAGAGGCTAAAAAAGTAAATTTTTTAATTTTTTTAGCTTTTTTTAGTTAAAGAAGTCAATTTTTTTTATCCAAAATAACTCAATTTTTTGTCAAAAAAGACACTAAAAAAATAAAAAAATTAATTTTTACCAACTTCCCAAAACACCACTATATCCATCTTAATTATGCTATTTTCTTCTCTAATTATAATATTATTTTAATTATGATTCATTAGATGTTTACTTATGTGGTTATGTTTAGTTATGATATTTTTTTTAGTTATAACTCAAAAAAGTATGAAATTATATCATTTTTCTCTTTCGTTATAAAATACACACTGTGTGTACCACTCTATATGGAAGGATTACATGCAGGTAAGAGAAGGGGAAAAAATTACCAATATATAAGATGCAAGTATGTCTGTGATGGGATACAAATAAAAAGTTGTAGACCTGCAAGTGTCACTTGTACTTAGGGTATAAACGGTTCGATTCAATTGGTATTGAGAGTATATTTGGTATCAAACTGATCATTTTAATTTTTATAATTTAGAAATCGATACAAACAGTATGTTACGGTTCAGTTTCATCGATTTTGTCTATTTGATGTAGAAAATAAATTTACATAAAGTTTTAAAAGGTTTTATAGTAGATTATAGAATTTTACATTAAAAATAAATGAAGAAAATATATGAAAATTACTTTATAAATGTTTTTCTCCATAATTTTTATCACAAAAGTAAATTATATTAGCTACTTCTCATATAATATTTAAAAAATTATAATATAAAAATATTTATATATAATATTCTGTCTGTTCAATTTGCATCGATATAAAAAAATTCAAAATTGAAACAAACCATTATAAAACAGACCAAGAACTAAAATTTCTGTCAATTTCGATCAGCCGGCTCAATTTTATCGATTTTTCTTAGATCCTCCCTCCATATATTGGTTATTTTTTTCCGTAACTTCCACCTACATAAAGTTCCCCCATTCAAGCCATTTTCTCATTTTAGTATTTTCACTTTTGCCCTTAAACTTTTTTAATTTACTCTTGAAATTAATTTTTATTTAAAATTAGATAAAAGATATTACGTAAACTATTACATAACATAAACTATATATTATTATATTAAGATCTGCGTTTGTATCAAATGTATGAATTATATATAATAAAATATTTTTATATCATGTAGTGATTAATGTATTATTTTTTATTTAATTTTAGATCTCGTTTGGGAACAAGTTATTTTAATAATTTTTTTGATTTTTTATGAAAAAATGTACAAAAAAGTAGAGAGAGTGATGTGATAACTTATAGTGACTTTTTGATTTTTTAACTAAAACAAAGGATTGCCAAACGAGACCTAAGATATAAATTAGCTTTGAAAAAAAATTAAAACATAAAAAGTTAAAGTGAAAAAATAAGTTTTTTTGGTTTGGGTTTTCAGGATTCAATTTTCTGAAAATAAAAATAAAAAATTCACTGAATTTTTTTAATATTTTAAGTAATTTTTTAATTTTTAGATACACCTAACTAGGATGAGCAGCGGATATACCGATTCGCCCAAATCGATCGAACCAAACCAATCCGCCGCATTTTGGACGGATGCGTGATAACTAGCAGACGGTTGCGGATTGATTTTTTTCAATTCGCCTGGTTTTGGACGGATAGCGGATTTGAGGTTGCTTTAGCCGCAACCGAACTGTCAAACCGCGAGCACCCCTAGTAATTTGTAAGATTTTATGTTTTCAATTTGTTTAGATATTCTATTTGTATTTTCAATTGAAAAATAGTTTAAATATTATATTGAATATATTCTATTAAAAAAGAATTTTCAACTTGAATATATTTTTTGGTTTTTAAATCTAACTCTAAAAATAATAAATAAAAAAGATGATATATGCTGGTTGGTTTTTGTTTTCAAAAATAGATATAGATGTAATAATACAAATGCATACAATCTCTACTATTACTCTGTTCATGATTTTAATGGTTTGAATTATTTTTATATTTTAAGAACTACAGATTATAATATTTTATATAGATGAGGCATGCCATGACTATAATATGTAGATGATGCATGTAGTGATTGTAATATTCTAAAGTTTCAAACTTTCTTTCTTTGGATAAGGCATGCAATGATTGTAATATTTTTTTAAGTCATTGACAGTAATACTTTTTTTTTTTTTTTTGAGGAAGTGCACAAGTTGAATTATGTTGAAAATTTATAAAATTTTAAACCGTCAAACCGACTCGCATCCATCCACCAATCTGCCAATTCGCTCAATCCACATCTGTCGGATTGGCAGATAGATGCAGATTGATTTTCTCCAATTCTCCAATCTGGCGGACGGATGGCGGATTGGAGATTCTGTGGCCGCAACCGACCCGCGCCCACCTCTACACCTAACATAAATACACTTAAAAAGTATAGTATTTTTGAAAAAACATTTAAAAAATTCATTAAATGCCCAAAATATAATATAATACATATATATATATATGAAAATTCAATATATTTTTATTTTTTCATGTATTTATTGATTTTTTAAAATATTTTTTTATAATATTTTACTTTTTAGATATATCTAAGTAAAGTACATTTAAAAAGTAAAAAAATTACTTAAAATTTTCAAAAATATTCACTAAAAATAAAAAATAAAAAAATTAATTTTCAAAAGATTAAATTCAAAAAATTAAAACCAATGAATAGTTTTTTAGAATCAAAATTAAAAAAAAAATGCTAAATATGAAAGCGGCTTCCCATATTTATATGGAAAATATCAATTCATGGAGTTTTGAAAAAATAATTTTAAATTAATAAAAAATTTTGAATATATGTTAATAATTAAAATTATAAATTTTTAATAAAAATATATTTCTTTTCTAACACTTAGCTGTCATTGACCAAGGAGGAGCTAGAAATAAGTTGAAAATTAAAAAAAAGTATAAAAAAAATAAATAAAATTAATTAATAAGACTAAATATCATATTTAAATTATAATTAATTTACTTTTTACCTCAAAAAAATTAAAAAATTATTTCCAAAGGAAACTATTTTATCCAAGTTAAAGTAATCAAAAAAATCATACTAAAAAGAAGAGTTAAAGTTAAAGTTAAAGTGAGAGTTAGAGTTTGCTAAACCGTACCGTAGTTAGATAAAGGAACTTTTTTAAATTCCACGTGGCGTATTCTAGTGAAATCTGTGGATTCACGCGCCGCACAAACGAACGCGTCTGAGTGGAGGGGTTGGATTTTGGTGTAGCCCGGAATGGACGGCTGGGATGAATTACAATGACACAGAATCGTCAACTCTGTTAATGCACTTGGAGGAACAATTATTTCATGCCTCATCGGGCAATCTTCAAATCAATCTTAGCCATTTATTTTTATGGGACCCACATCTATGAACGGCTGATATTAATTTGTAACATGGTCCCGTCAATGGTTTGGGCGTTGAATAATTGCTCGGAGGATAAGACTTTTGACTATGGTCTTTTTATGATTGTATTTTGTCAACCAGTGTTAAAAGAATACCAATTGACAAAATTTAAATGATTAAATTATTGTATTTTAAAAGACTACATATAAATATTTATTTTTTATTTTGTGTATTTATTATATTTTAAAGTTCTAGACAATGTGGAAGATTCTTAAAATATTATTTTTAAATTTATTTATATTAAGATGACAGAGTTAGATATATAATAATTAACATTATTCAAATTAAATTTAGAATAATGTTAGAAGAATTTTATATATTTTTCATTTTTATGTTTTCTTGTGATAAATCTTATTTATGGTTATATTTTGAAATTTACATATTTTAAAACTTTTGTATAAATTAACAATTGTTATTGTTTTGAAATAATGACGCAAAGAATTCATATATTTTCTAATAGAGTTGGTCGCTCTACCTTACTCTAGTCCCCACATTATTACTTAGTATATGGATCACCGTTATTATGAGTAGAAAATAAAAAATATGATCAATTTAATTGATGTATATAAATAGAACTTTTCCAATAAACTTTTTTATGGATTTCTCTCAAAATACAATTTATAATTTAATTGATTCAGTGTGTTTGGTTTGAGTTTTTTGAATTAAGATTTTTGAAAACTGAGTTTTTTGGTTTTCGTGTTTTTTTGTTTTTAGTGAATATTTTTTAAATTTTAAACATTTTTTTTATTTTTTTAGATGCACCTTACTTAGATGTATCTAAAAAGTAAAAAATTTGTGAAAAAATATTTTTAAAAATTAATAAATACATAAAAATACAAAAAATGTACTGAATTCTCATTTTTTTTTTGTATTTTTGGTATTTAGTGAATTTTTAAAAGGTTTTTTTTCAATTTTTTTTACTTTTTAGGTATATTTATGTTAGGTATGTCTAAAAATTAAAAAAAAATTGCTCAAAATATTAAAAAAATTCAGTAAAAATAAAAAAAAAACACAAAAAATAAAAAAATAAAATTTTCCAAAAAATATTTTAAAAAAATGGTGACCAAGCATAGTGTCTTTTTCAACTATTGTCAAACAACGGTTACATACTGTGTACTGATCGGTTTGGTGTGAATCTATTGGAAAATAATTTTTATTAAAAAATAAAAGATAACATGTGCAGAGCATCATCCACGCAGTACCTAACACATATTAGCATAGTTATATTACGGCTTATATTATTTTTAATTATAATCACATGTTAATTAATTTGAACATGTATGCTTTTATCACGATAATAATATTATTAAAATAATGTGTGTTGTTTTGTTTTTTAATTTTGTTACACGCCAAAATGTTGTGTCGTATAGTATTTGTTCAAATGTTGTGGAACTATAGCTAACTATGATATATCCAATTAGCCTCCAATTTATAGGTCTGTCTTAATGATG